TTGTAAATATCGAAGGAAGTATACAAGTAATACGTTTCAATATAGTGATGGAATGAATAGAAATCAATGTATAATTAAGTTCTTTAAATAGTTATGTATTTCATTTGAATAACTAATTATGAAATTGTATATAATAAGAGCTAAAATTGTATTTGGTATTGAGTAACTAAATTATTATTCAAAATAATAATTATCTAACAGAAGTACGAGTGTGATAAACAATTTTTTTTTTGATACTCAATTACACACATCATTTGCTATTTGATTAATACAAAATTAAAAAGTAGGAAAGAGAAAAAAACTCGAATATTGGTGCGCATCATTCATTAGTGAAGTCTTTTCACGCGACATATCAATATATTGAATCTGATATGAGTATTGCGATTAAATAAAATGTACAAAGTGCAGAATGTTTCTTTTTGTGAGAGTTTAAGGTTCTCTTCTCCACAGTATGCATCTAGGCAATCATTTGGCTAAGAATAAAGATCGCACTTTTCAAAATTCTAATATATGGAAATATAGTTTGAAATGTAGTCCATCTAATCGTTTCATTAACTTTGTTACAACCTTCAAAGAAGCTGAAAAATTAGTTGCCCAAAACTTAGCATAAAAATCGTCATGTCGCCGGAGATATTGATATCTGACAAAATCTAACTGTTTAACAGACAAATCAAGTATGTTTTCTCAATCTCCAAGCCGAGTTCTATACAATGATAAAATTTTTTTTAACTTGCATGTTTAGCTTCTAAAAAAAATAATAATTTTTGTATAGTATCGTCTGAACGATTAGCTTCGTAAGATGACAAACCATCTACATCGAATCTCCAAAGTATTCGAAAACTCTTCTATCTACTGTCTCTAATTCCTTTTGGAGCAAACATTTCTGGACTGTATCATCGGTTTCCAATAAACCTAGATTTTTCAGATATTTTTCAATTTTTCTGATTTTGGAAAAATATTATATCAGTAAAAAATAGCACATAGGGTAGTCACAAAAAAGTTCGTACACTTTGCTATATCTATGCAGAGAAACGATATGTCATATATATCTCTACACCATATATTCAGTAGTAATTGTTGTTGTTTTGATATTCCATGGAAAGTTTCATTCTTATAGCTCACTCTTGAGATATCTTTTTTGAAGTAAACAATATGTAATGAATTGGCCTCTTTCGTTATTACTCCTGCCCAACTGTAGGCACTTGTGATTATCTAGTTAATGTTGAATACAATTTAACAACTAGTCTTTTGAAAGCCTAGCCCGAAGTGAATACACTTGACGAGTCTCAACTTCATTCGTGTCACTTTAAAGTAAATAATGAAGTTGTTTTATATGTAATTCAACAAAGCACGATCGAGAGTGACTCGACAAAACTGTATTGATAATTTTTGTTCGATAAAGTTTCTATTTGTAAATTTAAACATTTATCGATAATATAGATAGTATTACTAGACATTAAAAAAATCACTATATGATGAATAATAGTCCGGATGTCATAAAAAAGTTGATATAGATGACTGTTTTTGAATAAATGTTGCTTGAAGGAGTAGTTTCTCTTACTTACCTAAGTTTTGATAATGATTTTCATCCAATATACCATCAGCAACTATTTTATAGCTGTCGTTAAATGTCTACAGATTACATACAGAATGTTTCAAACACGCACTATCAAAAAAAATATTGATAGCTTTCAAGTTGGTCAAGTGATATACATATGTTTTTTTCCATATTATCGAATGATTTTGGAAATCTTATTTCATGTAGCTTAGCTTTATAATATATATATATATTCAAAGTGATTACAATTGTCTACAATAAACAAGTCCATTCGTTTCGCAATAGTCGAAGAAACTTGACAAGTATTCTAATCAAAAATCAATTCGAAAGTAGTGATATTAGATATAGATCTTATCATTATACTCACATTCACAATAATCTTCGTCATAAATGTCATTATTAGCTCCTCAATATGAATAGAGCATATGTCGTAGAAGCATCGATCTCGAGTACAACAGTTTTTTAAACATTTGAAAAAATGCTACAAAAATTTTATGTCGAGTTAATTTATTTCTGCTATCAACTCTCATTTTGAATGCAACAAGATTCTCATATATATTTTATGTGGCTTTATTTCCAGTTTATATTTTGATTGAATAATCATTTAAATGAAAAGTAACTTTGTTTGACAAAAAAAGATAAATATTCTTAACTGTTGTATAAATTTTACAAATTCAATTCGACCATCTTGTATGGTTTTATTGAAAAATATGCAGTCATAATTCGGTGTACTAATGTACGTCGAATGAAACAGGCTTTCGCAACAACTCGGGCGCTTGATACTAGCTCAGTTTCACAAACATCAGGAATTTCGCCAATATTTTTTTCAATAATGTTTTAAAGTTTGTCGCCTTGCTATTGTATAAGTTTCACAGAAGCATTGAAAATTATTTCAATGTTAGTCTACATCTGACGTGTCTAGACCAAATATGATTTATATTTTCTCTTTCACAACAATAAATGACTCCATCATTTAAAAATGTTAGAATAAATGGCTTGAAGAAGTTAAAGGATTACTGACGATTTTTTCTCATGTCGAATCTTTAGGGCACCTTGTAAATAGTTATTTATTATCAATTCCCTTCAATTTTTTCAGATAGGCAAAAAATGATGACACTTTTTCTTTGGTGGATATTCAGATGTATTTAATAAAAATTGTCACAAAAAAAATATCAATATTTTGAATAGAATCTTTTACAATAAGTAGCTTCTTTGAATTTTTTGCAACAAATTCTCATTGATGATATTGATTTGAACAAACGCTTTGTTTGAAGTTGCAGACATTCACTATCATCTTCCACTTTCTTCCTCCTTTTTTTTCATATTCGCATTTTCTGTGATGTGACTCTCTCGATCGATTGGTCAATGGTATCATCGCGGTTATCTTTTCTTTTGTCTTTGTTCAGTTCAATTCAACTGACGTTCCAAATAAAGAGCGACAAAGAGGCACTCTTCTCATAATATCGAACGCAGAGTGAAATAAACAAGTAACTATATCTTAACCTACTTAAAATTTCATAATAATACGATTAGCAATGTGAAAGTACTCAAAACTATTCGCAAAAATATACTCGCTACTCAATTCATGAAATAGCGATAGAATTTGTTTTGAAAAGTGTACAAATTTTTTAACTAGTGCTTAATATTAAGTAGCCATTCAACTAGATTGATTCAAATTTGTCGGCTCTTGGATCGAAACAAATCTAATAGAGTAACATAAATAACTATGCACATAAAACACCTACTATTCATTTCAAGCTATAATGAGCTCCACTGCTTTTTGAATAACTTTTCATAGGAACATCATAGAAACCTGTGGATTTTCACCATTCAAAAGAAAACAACCGGGGCGATCAAAATATATCCACACTCAATTGTTTACCAATCGACCAATCTTAAGTGGTTTTTTGTCGAGACTTTCGAAATCCATATTCTGAAACGATTTTCTTGTTTATTTAGACTATTCATAGAACGAGCGACTTGATAGAAGAAGTTCTTCTCTTTTGATGTACGCAAGATCAATATTTCTGGCTTGCTCTGTTCGAGAGAGTTATGAAACTTTTCTTGTTAAACTCTTTGCCTAGAATCAATTGACTTGTTATTACCCAGAAAAGCAGCTTGGCAGTGATAATTCTTTATACTGAGTAATACACTGATATTTGTTTTTAGGTTCGAAATGATTTATCATTGTTATTTCAACACTTCCAAAACATCCCCTTCTTCGTTGTATGGAGACTAATTGTGAAATTTCAGTAATATGAAGATAATAGAATTAAGTCAGTTCACATTCAAAAAAACAAATATCATCATTTGACTCAGCATCATGAATTACTTCTATGCAATTGCTTTTAGAAGTGATTCTAAAACAATGACTCAAATCAGAATCTCAGGAAAAGTTTTATAACTCTCGAATGAAACAAGCCATAAACGTCTGCCTTGTGTAGACTAAAAGAAAAAAAACTTCAGGTTATCATTTTTGAAAATCTCCACGAAGAACTCACCTAAGTGATCAGTTGGTGTTAAATCAAATTTTGACGTACTATAATGGCTTTGAGAGTTTTCTCTCGAATGCTGAAAATCACAGATCTCTATAATGTTCCTATGAAAAATTATTCAGAAAACAGTGAAGTAAATTATATTTTGAAATGAATAGTAATATTGAAAATCTTCATATAGTGCTTGATATTAAATATTTTGTTATTTGAGCATATTCTGATAGCTACACTTTGCTTGAAGAAAATCTGTTAAATACAATATGATGAAAATTTTGTCGGAAAATACATGGAAAGAACTATTTTCATGAATTTCTTTCTTTTTATATTGTGCAACCACTCTGTGAGTGGATATAACAGAGAGCGTCGTAAATGACAACATACTAAAATCATTTACCGTATTTATTCAGTTTTTTTTTTGAAACGAACATCATGATTGTACTTAATTCCGATTTTCTACAATACTTAAAACAGAATACAATGAATTTCGATTTATTCAAAAAAAAAAAAAAATAAAATCAAGAATACAACATCGATGATTTACCAACAGAAAACATTTTTTTCTCACATTGAAGCTGAAACTATAGAAAACAAGTCATAAGAATAGACTAATACAATTTCGATGATTAATAATCACATTCTGATATATTACTAATGTTAATAACTCTCATATGTAATTGTGCTGTTTTCTTCTCGGGTAAAAAAAGGGTCGCAAAAATAATGGTATTATTTATAATCGTATTCCTATTCCATGTAGGTCATAGAATTACTAACAAAAGATGACGAAGAAGGGGTAACACAACTGTTTTTTTACTTGTCAACATACATCAGAGAATGAATAATATGCTGATGGGAAACTTCACCAAAAATATGTTGATAGATACCAAGATTGTCTTAACTATAAATATAGACATTTGCGTTGCTTACAATACATAAGCTATATCTTTAGAATGAATATTATTTCTATTCAAATTATTGTTTTACTTCTTCCGATTGTGACAATTATCAGTTACACTGAGACAACAACTAAACAAACAACATTGCCTCAAAATACTGGTTTTCGTTCATGTCAAAAACCAAAAAATGGTCAACATTTATGTTTTTGTGGGAAAAACAATGTACAATATGATCGTCTCAAACGTGAACGATGTGTCAAGGGACAAGTAATTAAAAAAGGAAGTCAAAAAAGGTATAGAAGCTAGAATAATTGAAAAATTTTTAAATGAATTTTATATCACAAATGAATATATTCTGAATAAAACTAATCGAATTTTTAGTGCTACATCAAAAATTCCTGGTCTTCGATTAACAACTAAACCAATTCATCAATCTACTCGTGATGATAATAGAGATACTCCATGTATAGGTCTTCGATTCAAACCATCACCGACTGAAACCAAACAAGCCTATGTACCACTTCGTAATGTATCAGTTGAAGCTTGGATTGATTCTTTTGCTGCCGACGTCACTTTGACCCAAGTGTTTATCAATCAAGAAGAAAATCCTATTGAAGCAATTTATGTATTTCCTATTGAGGTATATCATTTAGTAACTAAGTTTTGTTAGTATTTACTAAAAACAAAAGATTCATAGTTAAAACTCGCATATGTAGAAATTAACTATATAGACAAATCAACTGTATAGAAAGGACGAGAGTTGATAAGGACATTTTTTTCAAATTGCTTTCGGAAAAAACGTACATGATGATAATAAGTTAACCTTGAACTATAGTATGGGCATATTTACTCATCTTTATTAGACATTGCCGTTTTTCGCACATTTACCTCCATAGAACGTACGTGAAAGTTGATTTCTTTCCGTTTCGAGTTAAACACATGCAAAAAGTAGAATGGACAATGTTGATTACAAATATCATCTGAGTTGTTGTATAAACTATAACGATAAATGATGAAAGGAAGTTTTCAAGAAAATAGATCCCGTTTGAATAAACGCTTTTTTTTTTGTTTTTGACCAGATACCGGTTTTAATAAAGTTTTAAACATTTTACAGCAAATTTCAAATGAGTATTAATGCATTTCTTATCTAATGATGGAAATATTAAAATATCACAATATGTGAAACAGTTCAAAGAACCGGATTACAAGTGAAAACTTAGTTAATTAATGTATGTGACTCCTGTCGAAATTATATCACTTCACTATTTTACCTGGTCACTCTCTGCAAGTGATATAGACATACCTAGTTTTTCATGTTCTATTTAAAGATGTCCTTGACGAAGAAAAATAATATGTTCTTTTTCAGTAAAATTATCATTTAGTAGTGCAAAGTCATATTTTTCACATCGTATTTCAACAGTTCTCGCATATTGTGCATTGTTCTATATGTTTAATTGACATAATTAGTTTTTCACTAAATAGAGAAGACTTGATTGAAATTTTTTCTCAAAGCTTTAGAGCACCACATTGAACTAGGACGGCCCATTGCGACTTGTGTGTGGTACGAAATCCAGGAAAACAGTGTTCTAAGTTCTCTGAGTGCTGGAAGGAGGAAGTACAACTGTGAAAAATCTCGATTACAAATAATCAGGAACACGTATGTTCAAGTTGCAGTTCATAATTGACTTATTATCCAAATGTGGTTGGTTTCTAAAAAACGGAGCCGTAATGATGAAAAGGACCTAATCAACATTTGCTGTTTTTCAACACTATTAACTGGTATAGTCAAAAAAGATTTTGATCATTTCCTATCAACCTGCATAGGATGTGTAATACTTTAGAAATATTCAATATAGATAATTGAATGTCATCTATCTAATCAAACACTAATGGTGTTTGTTAAATATATAGGATGATGCACAACATGCGTGAATTATGGAAATACGATCTGAAAAGTATGGCGCGTCTCTATTAAATAGTAGTCTTTCTCCACAAAAACAGGCTTTTTTTATTGTTCAAGAACATATGTGAATAGATCATGAAAAACTGTATCTGACTATATCACTTTCAGAAGGTAACTGCATGAAACGACAAAGAGGCATAACTTCAAAAGAAGATGCACACGTAAATAAATTAGGACTTTCGGTCGTGATCCGATTTTTTGAATTGTTTCACATATTTAGATATTTTATTTCTGTATCATTAGATACACAATACTTCAATACTCATTTGAAATTGATTTTCAAATGTTTAGATCATTATATAAAGTCGGTAGATAATTAAACACAAGGAACAAAGTGCTTATCCACTTAAGGTTTAATCCTTTTGAAATTCACTTTTCTGATTCATCAAAATATTTATGACAAAAACTAAAAAAAATGTTCTTAATCAGCATCGTAAACTTTATATTTTGCATATGTTTAACTTAAAGCGAAGGGAACAAAAAATTCAAATACATCGTAGAAGGATACAGATGCGGAAAATCTCGATGTCGAACTAAGATGAATAAAAATCGTTGTCGACTATTGTCCTTTATCACCAAAAATTTTAATTTAGTTCAAATAGAAACTTTTTCTTTATAGGAAAATGCTGCCGTTTATTCTTTTACGGCTGAATTTGACAATCGGACAATCACAGCTGTATTAAAAGAAAAGAAAACAGCAGAAGAAGAATATAAATCAGCTGTTGAACAAGGTCAAACAGCATTTTTAATGCGACAAAGCAGAGAAACATTAGATACCTTCACAGTGAGTAATTTATAACTATATTTAAATTGAATTTTTATTATTTCAAATAAAAACAAAAACTTCATATCTACATTAAGGTTAATGTTGGTGCTTTACCACCTGGAAAAGAATGTCGAATCATGATTCAATATGTAACTGAATTAGATTTAATTGATGGAAATGCTATTCGATTTGTCGTTCCTACGACTATCGCTCCACGATATAATCCATCATTCGGTCGTCTACAATCACCTGATCGTACAGCAGCTGAATATGTTCAAAATACTTCATATTCAATGTGGTTTCAAGCACATATTCTTCGAGGTGAAGAATGTAAGTAGATATTTTATTGATTTAAAACTTTTGTTTTTAAATATTAATTCATAAAATTTCAGATAAAATTAAGCAAGTCGCTAATCTTTCACATCCAGTAAATGTTAGTATATCAGGTCAATCAATTGATGTTTCTTCAATGGCTATTGCTCTTGATCGTGATATTATTTTGGATATTGATCTTCCCGACAATCGACCATTGACACGTTTTGCTATCGAACAATATAGTGATACTTCAAAATATGCTGTTCTTCTAGCATTTACTCCACGTCTTTCTGATTTTATTAAAATTACTAATGGAAAAGACACACTTAATACTGAATTTATTTTCATTGGTATATTTTAATAGAATTCTTATAAGTAAAATAATAATTTATTATTCTTTTCTTTTGCCTCTTAGTTGATTGTTCGGGTTCAATGACAGAAGATAATCGTATTGGTCTTGCTAGAGAAGCTATGCTTCTATTTATACGTAGTTTACCAGTGGGTGCTCATTTTAATATTATTCGTTTTGGATCAAATTTTGATATTCTCTTCAAAAATGAGACTTTGACGGCTGTTTATGATGAACAAACTGCTAAAGAAGCTGAAAAACTTACACGTTCAATGCAAGCCGATTTTGGTGGAACAGAATTGTTGGAACCTTTGAAACATTTAAAAGATCATCCACCAATTAAAGATCGATCAAGACAAATTTTCCTATTGACCGATGGAGAAATATCAAATACAAATGAGGTAAATAATGAATATGAGATATTTAAAAGAGGTTCTATGAGAATACCGCACATCATCTCCGTACACGAGGTATCGATCAAAATTTAAATTTTATTTACATTCGAAAGACTGTTATCTAAAACCACCAAAATTAAATGTTTAGTTCACTTCAATGTTTTTGTAGTAAAATTAGTCTTGATTGACTCTTTAGCATTACCTAGTTACCATCAAAAATATAGTGATTCATTGTGTCAATAGAGTGTACTAGGGTTTTACTTCTAAATATTAGAGAATTTTCTCATGTAATATATCAAAAGATAGATTATCAACATTTAATCAATATGAGCTATTTAGAATATTCTATACTAATTATTTATTGAGCCAATATAAGCGGAAAAGTATATCATTTAGCAATCTATAATATCTGTTTATTGATGGTATATCTACTGGCATTTTTCAAAATCAAACGATAGCAAGCTAGGTTTTTGACATATGATGCAACTTTTGATTCTTTATAAAACAGTAAAACGATATCAAAATATGAACAAAAAATTTGCAAAATCGATATATAATCATCCATGCTGATAAAGCACTGAACACTGACCATAAGGATACGATAGAATTTTATTTTTAATGGTAATTTAGTGGTTTAGGGTTGGTCTTTCAATGTCATACACATGCTATAGATCTTTGAATTCTCCATTAAAAGGATGTTCTATATACTACTAGTTAACGATTGATAATGAGCATCGTTCATATGGTTGTAGTCAAAGATCCATTGTGTATCAACATCAGTGATCATCATCTGATTTCCTAATTTTTTATTCTCAAAACTCCTGCAGTCTCCGTTAGGGATGTAAGGAGTCGAAATTTCTGTTAATTTGTCGAAAGAACTCTATATAATTTTAGCCAGGATACAATCTATTAAATGAAAATTATGAAACAAGCATTATGAAAAGTGTTCAGCATCGTTTTTCTTGAAGTTGTTTGCTTGTCTATCGAGGATGCAAGATTCATATTATCTCGAAACTAAATATTTTTTCGATATCGTTTTACTGTTTTATAAAGAATCAAAAGTTGCATCATATGTCAAAAACCTAGCTTGCTATCGTTTGATTTTGAAAAATGCCAGTAGATATACCATCAATAAACAGATATTATAGATTGCTAAATGATATACTTTTCCACTTATGTTGGCTCAATAAATAATTAGTATAGAATATTCTAAATAGCTCATATTGATTAAATGTTGATAATCTATCTTTTGATATATTATATGAGAAAATTCTCTAATATTTAGAAGTAAAACCCTAGTAGACTATTGACACAATGAATCACTATACTTTTGACAGCAGCTAGGTAATGCTGAAAGTCAATGAAGTCTAACTTTACTATAAAACATTGAAGTGAACTAAACATTTAAGTTTCGTGGTTTTAGATGACAGTCTTTTGAATACATATAAAATTTAAATTTTGTCCAATTTCTGGTTCCTTGGCTCTTTTGCGGTTGCTCTCGTATGCATTACAGTATATTTTACGTTCTGAAATATTACAATCTGACAGTTATATTGATAGGCTAAAAGAAAGAAAGCATTTATAACATGATACGGGAATAAGAAACTCGAATTCCTCTTTATTTTTCAGGTGATCGAATTATGTCGTTCAATGGCTTCAACTACACGAATATTTTCTTTTGGTCTTGGTCATTCACCGTCTCGTTCTCTAGTGAAAGGTCTTGCTCGTGCAACAAATGGTCATTTTGTTTTTGTACCTCCAAATTCAAAAGTTGATACTTACGTTGGTAGTCAACTTGGTCGAGCTCTTCAACCATCATTAGTAAATGCTCACCTTGAATGGTATGGTTTGTCTAAAGATGGATTACAAGCTCCAAAAAAGATTCCACCTCTTTATATAAATGATTGTGTATTAGTTTATGAATTATTAGAAGGTGATGAATTGAAAAACCAGAATATCAGTGTAGCTCTCTTTGTTGGAGACTATAAAATGAATTCGATTAAGTTATCTGGTAATATTGCGCACAAAAGAGATACAATACGTCGATTAGCAGCTAAAGCTTTGATACAAGAATTGCAACATGAAACATATAATGTATCGGATACAGAGTACGTATTTAAAGATAAACAAGATTTCTTTTAAAAAAAAGAGTATACAAGTCAAATCATTTAAATTGCTTGATTGGCTTTTTTATTGATTTATCTTTTCTTTTAACGATAGAAATAATTCAACACTTGAACAACAAATTACTACACTATCAATGAGTCATCAAATTTTATCGCCCTACACAGCCTTTGTCGCTGTAGAAACTACTGGCCCAAAAAACAATAATACTGGTTCTAAAGTTCGTCATATACCTATTCAAATATCGAAAGGTGGTGAACATTTATTTTCTCACCAAAGCGTATATTCTTTTCCTAATCGCGGTGCAAGGGGGCCGATGGGCTTCTTTTCTGGACATCATGCACAATCTGTGGCAATGCCATATTCGATGGGCTACGGTTCTGGACGTCCGGTACCGGCAATGACGATGCATGGACCAATGTTGATGGACAAGTCACACTATTCCTTTCACCGAGGACCGTAAGTATTTTTCAAGTCTTTTTAGGGCAAATTAAGTTATTGTTAGGTTTAGAAAAATGTCTATCTGCTCTATCCATCTTTATTTTTCATTCTCTGTTACATAGATAGTCAACAAACTCAGAAAATTTTGAGTCTCGGTCTATGAAAATAGAAATCGAAATTGTAACGGAGTTTGTTAGACAAACGATGAAGATATTTGAGTGAATTTGTCATTTTCAGTTTTCACAACCTATGTTATAGTACCTAATTGAAAGTTATGTATCCTGTCAGTAATTACATAGTTTCTAAATTTTGATCATGATAAATTGATACATTTCAAATTTCTTCTATTCTTATAACTTAATATTCTGTTTTTATTTTGTAATCAACTTAGGCCTGGCCCACAGCAAGCCGGAAATTCATGGATCAAGCCATCTGCGCAACACGATTCGGACGAGTCTTCAGACATTGCTACCACTACTCCATTGTTGTCTGCTGATCCTGTCCGCTGGTTAATTGATCAACAGTCATTCAACGGAGCATGGCTATTAAATGAGAACGATATTAGAAAATTGACCAATGGCAAATCGTTAAGCGCATTTATATCAAACGTAACTAAAGCTAAAGATGCTTTAACAACAGCATTAGCCATTGCTATACTTGAATTAAAACATGCAGATCAAAAGAATCTTTGGTATGGAGTGGTAGAAAAAGGTCGCAAACGACTTTCTACTTTTGGATTAAGCAATGACCAAATTAATTTACTTATCAATGACATTAAAAATAAATTGTGACATTTCAATGCTTTTATTATATGTAGCTAGCGAGATATTATTTTCTCGAATAAAATACGTCCTATAGTTCCGAACAATCTCAAGAAAATTAGAATAACGTCTAGAGACATCACTGATATGAAAAGCATTAGTTTGTTGTCAAGCAAAAAAAAACAAACAACACATATTTTAACTTAAAATCATATTCATTAGATAATGTATCGTTGAACAGATTTGAAAATTGATCGTAGCCGAAGATCCTATATTAGCGAACTATTGACTATCAAAACTCGTTGCACTGAAGCTTTTTTTAATATCATCTTATTGAACAGGACAAATCTTTATAACAGATTATTTTTTCTATAAAAAAGAAGTTCGTTTATTAAGTTGTCAAAGCAATTTCATTCAACCAATAATGTATGAAACGGTGGAATATTCCATTTAAAAACATTAGTAGATTGAATATTAGATAAACATAACAGAACTGTCGATCTGATTTTTACATTATAGAAACTAAATGTTGATGCTTGAACTTACTATTTGATAGTACTGTAAAAAATTCTCTCGAGTTTAGCATTAATGGCTTGAACTGAACGTCAATATACTGTCATAGGACTTGGGTTGACTGGCAGAAGAACATGTTTTAATCCAAAACAATTGAATGGTAAGTTTTGCACTTGTGTTGATGCGAAAATTGATTGTCAAATATAAATGTTCTTGTCTTCTGTTATAAGTATCACTTATCCTTTAAATTTTCGTTTTGCATTTTCTTTTACCTCTTCATTGGATTGTTTTGATACAATCCTGGTTTGTATGACTCATTTTTATATTGTCTCTTTGTTTTAATTTACTGTTACATACAAGGATTTATTATTTTATCTATATGGAGATCAATTAAGATAACAGCTGAAACTAGAATTATGCAGTAATGCAGACTTCTAGAGTTACATGTATTCGTAAAATCAGAAACAGTAATCAACCTGGTTTGGTCTACATGCCAAGCCAGAAAAAAGTGTCCTGATGGCATCTCCGATACATATTTAGTATGATGTTAAATCTCAGTATCTCTTGAAATGAATTAGTTACTATGGATTTTGAAAGATACATAAAAGTAGTTAAACTTTTTTTTTTGCATGATGATAAACATATGTTAGTAATGACTAATGATTAATGCTGTATCTCAATTTTTTTCCAAAAGATCATGTGCGTTATCCATTAGCTCAACAAGACTAATTATACATGTTGATAAAATTGTTTAATAGAAACTAATCTGCTCAACTTAGTAAGTAGATTTATGCAATACAATATTATAGACATTCTATAAAAAATGCACATTATGAATTAATCGAAGGAAAAATAGAATCATAGCTAAGAAAATATAAAGTTTTTTTTAGAAAAACTAATATGAAAACGTTGCCTTGCTACATTTTTTTTATTCTTGATAGCTGTTTGATCTAAATGTTTCATTATCACTTTTATGTTCCAACCAAAAGCTTGATTTCCTATTTTAATGAAAATCAAATTGAAGAGAGATGGATATAATTTCAATAACTGAACAAAGGGGACAGCTATCGACTTATCATTTTCAGCAGTCGAAAGAGGAGAACTCTGAATCTCATTTCATATGATATTATATAAAACAAGATTGTTGTTAAGATTCATCATCTTCATGAAAAATTTAGAAACATTCATGAAACTGGTTTTCAGTTTCAAGAAAATTTTCTAAAAATCAATAGAATTCTATAGTATTTTATGGATTATGTGCGCAATTTGGCTTCCTCAACGTTAAAATCTGAGAAGATAATTACCTTAATTATATCTTCAACCCTAGATCTGAAGTTCCTTTCTCTGCACCACATGTCAAAATCAAAATCAGATCGAAATACAACATCATTTTCATGCATTTTTTTTCGAATATTTTGTGAAGACGATAGATTTTATAATAATTTTGTTCTACATAGGATCGAACAAAAAGATGTCCGGAGTTCTCCTCTCATGGTTGCTGAAAACGGCTGATTTTTTAGCTTTCTTTTGTTATCGAGTTATTCAAATTACAACCACTTCTCGCTCTAGTTCTTGCATGAAAATTAGTATTACGAATAAAGTAAAAAAAAAGAAAGTAGTGATCACGTTCGCTATAGATTAATTAGTTCATTCTGTTTAATAACAAAATACAATTGGTTGTATAATAAAAACAAAGTATTATAGCGTATAAACTCATTCCGAGATTCAATCAATTCATTTAATTCAGAATTTATTTATTGTGTGAATGATAACTATTGTGTCTTTTCATTCTATCACGATTTCAGTCATTATTTCATTGTAAAAATGACAATGTCTGATAGAAGATTTGTCTCTCTTCGCTATTCCTTAACTTTCTCTATTCTATAACTAGGGTTCTCGATCAGGTGGCTTTCCTTGTTGTACCAAAATATCTGACTCTCTGCTCAAATTCATAATAAATTCTGCTAATTTTTCATAGCTTCGTGGTAACTTTGAACAAAAACCGGGTTTTGAAACCTTATTTACCTTTCTCTGGCAAAAAGTGAAATAAAAATAAGCAGATGATATCATTGCAGTATGAATAAAATTGAAACTGGCTGCGAGAGAAGACATGACATTGTAGCAGACCATCTACTGTAGGAGGAATTGAGTCATATACGAGTTCGTTTTTCCTCTCTGATCACCACTTCTAACACTTCGAGGATGAAAGCATTTTCTGCCGGATCTTTACACTTCTGACACTTCTAAAAAGTGTCGATAACTCTGGTTTTATCTCATTTTTATTGTATTTCGAATGATTAGCTAACGTGCATCATCAACATCTTTTTTTTTAAAACTTTTCTTTGTGACTTTATTTGTTTTGTATTTATAAATGTAACTTATGAAAGTGTGAGATTCAACTGATAACATGTAGATACGCAAATTAACTAACATACATTTTGCTTATTCTATTTCTTACAATATTCATCAGTTAAGTTCTTTCGAAGTCATTTATATTGCTACATTTATGTGTTTTTTTCACTTCACATGTGCTTTTATTTTAGTCTTCAATGGAAAAAGTTCAAAATATTCTTTATGTAAAACAATTGTGTTTCTTTTTTACATGATATATTAAATATCTTAATAGTACTTTAAGCATTAAATATTATGTTATCAATGTTGTACATCTTTTCGTTTTTTTCTTTAACTTTTCCTTATTGTCTTGCTACTGTGTGTGACTTCGAGAATGATAGGATAATTTAAATTATTCGTCATTATTGATACCCTATCATTTATCAAAATTTACAAAAGACAAATGATCATGAAATGAAGCATTATTTTAAATCTCTCCCTCAATTAAATCTAATACCTGCTTTACCTAAAAACCCGCGTAATTATCCAATAATATTGATTGGTGCTGGTACAATCATCACTTCAGGACATTTACCAGCATATAAAATAGCTGGATTTTCTGTCAAAGGTATCTATGATATTGATCAACAAAAAGCTTTCGATGTAGCCAACAAATGGCATATTCCAAAAGTATATAATACAATCAACGAAGCATGTACAACATCAACAAATGAAAATATTATTTTTGATTTGGCTGTTCCATCAAATCAAATACAATCTATTCTTAAACAACTTTCAATAAATTCTCATGCACTTATACAAAAACCAATGGGGGAAAATCTTATCGATGCTCAATCAATTGTTAATATATGTAAACAACGTCATATTCATGGTTCAATAAATTTTCAACTTCGTTATGCCCCTTATATACTTGCTCTTAAAGATGCTATTCGTCTTGGTTGGTTAGGTGGACAATTAACAACTATTGAAATACATGTTAATGTACATATGCCATGGCCATTATGGCCATTTTTAGCAGCTGTACAAAACCTTGAACTAACCTATCATTCAATACATTATGTTGATTTGATACGTGATCTTTTAAACCCATATGAACCAAGTGCTCTGCATTGTCGCACAAGTCAATATGTAATGATAGCTCATTTGATATCGGTACGATCTTCTTATTCATTTGAATATAAACACGATCCAATGTTATATGTAAATATTTATACAAATCATCATCATCGATGGGATATGAAACATGCACAATCCTATATACTTGTTGAAGGAACTGGAGGTGCAGCTAAAGCACAAATTGGTGATAATCTTGCATATGGAATAAATACAGAAGGACAACAAACAGATTATTTACAAGTAAAACAAAAGTCGACTATCATTCAATCGATCGATTTTATTTATTTAAGTATTTGTTTGTTTTTGGTAGATTTGTTCAGATGAGATGACGAAAGGTGAATGGATTGATATTGATTTACAAGGACGAAGTCGTTTTCCTCATGCATTTATTGGACCAATAGCAGCAGCTATGCGTCGATATGAAAATAAACACGATCAACCTTCAACTGATATTGAAGATGCACTCAAAACTATGGCAATAATCGAAATACCATGGAAAAGTTCGACAAATAACATGACTCCAATTCATTACAATTAAATTGATGTATTCCAATTAGTCTTCTTGTCAGAATATTTTCTTTTTGCATTTGAAATAATTCAAACATATACAGACAATATAATTGGATGAACTTAACAATATCTATAACGCAATTTCTGTAATATGAATATGAAAGAGTATATTCCCATGTGTCCATCCTACGCTGAGTTATTTTTATTCTCGCATAAAAGAAAAGGTCCCATTAACGTAGACATAAGTCAACAAGAGCTTAAGCGTCTTTTTTTTTGTCTTTTGATTGTTTAGATTACATGCTTCATTTTGCTTATTGTTTTTTTAGACTCGTAATGGTTGAGATGTAGATCATCCGACTGAGATTTAAAATCAACAATAATCCGATAGAATTAAAAAAAGGATTAATCATTTATAGATGGAAGACAAACAGTTAATTGCTTTTGAAAGGAAGTCATGTTTCATTTTTATTAACATCTCTCGCATCAAATATTTTGATTTATAATCTATATTAATAACCATCAATCCACTGAAAATCAATCCAAATAATATAGAAAAGCTTATAAAAAAAACAAAGAAAAAATACTCGTCAAGAAAGATAAAATATATTTGCAACATAGAGTCATTCTAGCTGACGGAAATAGATAATTCTCTAAAAATAAAAAAGTGAATTCTTTCTAAACAAAAATTGTTCAGTAACATTTCTGAATGTTCATATTAGAATATATTTATCTATTATAGAAATTGATCAAATCAACAAAAAGAAAAATTTTTGTTTAGTTTATAATGACTTTGTCCATTTAATGTCTTTTTTTTTTGTTATTATTATTATTATTATTTTTTTGAAAATTTTATAATACATTCGAAGCTAAATGGAACGTTAATATCCAAAAATAATGCATTTCACTAATATTTATTTTTCAACAGAAACTAATTGTTTTTTACATGTTGATTATCATCATCTAAAGGATTATTTAATAAACAACTTGATCTTCTTCCTGTTTCACGCGAACTTTGCATGGTTGATGATAATGTTAAACCGGCACAATTTGTTTGACTTGTCCATGAATGTTTATCTTTAGTACTATAATTTATTGGTTGAATATCTAAATATTTTTTATTACTATAATTTATTTTTGAAACATGTTGGTTTTTATTTAATTTCATTGATGGTAGAACAACAACAGATAATGAACGAAATCGTTGTTTATCTTCATAATCAACAACTAATCGATTTGATTGTTGAGGTGTTGATGTTCGACGTAAATTAACAGCATTCATCATATCTGTGTGAAACATTGAAACTAAACTTGATTTTGTTTTCATACGTATTGTTGTCATTAGAACATGACGAAATTCTGTTCCAGATAAACAATAACTAAGTATGCTTGCATAATTAAAATACATTAATATGTTATAAATAGTCCATTGTATTCGTCGACAACGAATAGCTTCAATAGAGGATTTATTTGACAATAAATCAATAATAAATGCTGTAACTGGTAAAGTTGTTGCAACAAATACAAATGATGAACATATCATCATAAGACAAAGTGAACGTAAACGATTTGTTGCTTTTGAACGACTAACTAAATCATTTTTTTTACTTGGACCTGATACAAGAAATACACGATTAATAACAGTTAAATTACATAAAGTTATAAATAGAAATGGGATTATTGTTACAAGAAACATATCAATCCATGTATAGATATGTTCAAAAAAATATACATAATTTTCATGTAAATAACATTGTTGATATTGGAATGGATTAACAGTTGATCGATTAGAATTTATACCATTATTATTATCACCATGAACAAATATTAATAAATGAATATTAGATAAACATAAAATTATTAATACAATACTTCCATTAATTGTTGCTTGTCGTGTACGACACCATTTTGATGTATATATAGGAAATTTAACAGCAATATAACGATCTAAATTTAAACAACATCGAAACCATGATGATAAATGTAGAGTATTACTTCAAAAAAACAGAATTATTGAAATTTTACTTTGTTAAATAAAAGTCATTAACTTACTAGAAAAAGAAAACATGTAATTTACATAATATTGTTCCATGAATATGGATATGAAAATTTGATGATAAGAGTAACTCACGTAATAATCCAATATATAAAACAATGGTATCCGCAAGAGACATAAATGTTAGATACCGATATACGCTATGTTGTCGCATTTGAATTAAAACAATAAACGATAAAAAGTTTCCCACTGTACCAATAGTAAGTAAAATTGGATAAGTATATAATTCAATTTGACGCGCAATATCTTCTGTTTCCGAACAATTCATTATTTAATGATAATTATCTAACTAACATAATAGCCCATTTCTAGAATTGAAGAGAAAGAAAAACGCAAAATTCTTCTTTCTGTCTATATAATTGCACACCCACGCTTATCTATGCCTCATCAAAAACGATAGATATCAACTGATTATATTATCTCTTTCAAATAAGAGGAAAACAAATGCTTAGGAACATCATATAATATAATTATGATTAACGGCTCCAAAGTCTTACTAAACCATAGTAACAGTTAAAAAATACAAGTAACCTTTCGTCACTCGAAAATATTAGGTTATTCATCAAATATTAGTATCTAAAGAACACACAGAATGCTAGACATTTAACAAACTGAATTAGTAGGTTGAAACGACATGTAGGACAAAAATTAAGAAATGGCAAGACACTTGTTCTTATCATTAATTGTAGTAAGAAAAAAATGTTTTATCTAGTTTTTGATACATATAGAAAAAAAGAAAAAAAACTCTTTTGCTTTTTTACTATTTAATAAATAGAATCTACTAGTTGTTAGTAACAAAATAAGCATAAAATAACTATTGACACTTATATACATCGATGTGACATGTCAGATGATTCCCTAGTGGACACAACATTTTTTTTTCTGTTTATTGTTCATTATTCCCATCTTAGTCAAGTGGAAAAAACAAACTTATCTTATTGCTATGTTTTTTTGTTGTTGTATCATCTTTTCTACTTAGAAAAGACAATAATGACTGTTTTTGTTGTCACTACATATACGTATTTATGTCTAGAAACTTATGCTTTATTACGCTTTTATCAGTTAGTAGACTTATCTTTCATCATTGTTTGTATAATATAGCTGTTTGTACTAATATGACATGATACAATCTATGTTTGTTGACATAACATAGACAAGAAGAAACTATAGGAAAAAGATTGAAAAAATTTAAACGGATACACACCTGTTTTATGTAACGAAATAGTTAAGTATAATTTTCGCCTTTGGGTTCAAGCAAAAAAAGTAATATATCAAATTGTAATCAAAACAATAAGAAACTTCTATATAATGCTATTGGTTGTCACGGTTGCTCAACTATCATTTTTTATATCGGTACAAACATTTTGCCAGAGAGAATAGAGAAAAAAAGGAGAATTATTCGGCGTTAAACATGCTTATATCGGAAAAAATCAGAATTCACTCGATTACCGCTAACTAGTCTTCCTAAAAATAGCAATTCGGTGTGTTTTACTTTATATTTGAATATCTCTCTCATGATTGTATGATTGTTTTCATGATTTTCATGTTTAGTATAATAGCTCAGGCGATTAATATGTCCTATGAGGTCTTTTTTTTTCTATCTTAGGACAAAAAACACAATTCTAAAGTGGAATGTCAATCCGAATTAACGCTAAGCATTTCTCTCCTTTTTTCTCTTCTCATCAATGCATATAGAAACAATAATCAACGAATAATACATGCAGCTATCACGCCATGGAGAAAAATAAAGAGGTCAATATAAATAGTTACGTCATGCCAGATGGAAGAAACTAGGAAGTAACAGGAGCTTTATCCCTCTTTGAGTGCTAGCTCGATAACACTTTCTCAATTCAAGTCCAAGGATGCATTCATTGCCATTATCATCATTATTATCATGAAGCCAATACATCTGTCGACGTTATACAGATGTAAATGAGGTATACTGCTATTCGTATATAACATTATGCTAACCGATTTTCCATTCAGCAGATATGTTAATTTATATAAAACAGAGTTATGCCATATATTTCCAAACGAAAAAAAGAACTAACATATAGGAAAATATATATACATAAATAATATAAATATTCGATAAATGAAATTCAAATGATTTGAAATAAAAATTTTCCTCATTTCTATAAACCAAGAAAAACAAAAAAAAAACTATTCAATTCGTTCATTAATTAATTATCTAAATTATAATCAATAGAAATTCTTCATGTATTTCTTTCATTACTCATTATCGACACTGTATTCATAATTAATATGTTCTTGTTCTTGAAAACACACCAACTAGACTACTGATTAGGACATTGAAAAAAAACGAGACTGCATACAATATTTATAGGTAATAAAAAAAGACGAACGAGGTAATAAAAACTATCGGCAATATAACACTATATAAAATCTTCTTTGTTTCCGGAAAATCAGGCAATATATTAAGTTTACTACAACTTTTTGTCATAATCAAAGAACAACCTTCAATAAAATTTTTTTTGTGCATACTTTAGCTAGTAAAAGCGCTAAGTAATCGGCGAGTTATGATAAATATCCGATTTACAACAAAACGAATAAGTAGACGCCATTTTATTACAAAAAAAAAGCAAGAGAAAAGATTAGTATGAAATGTCTAGAATGAATATATATCGTATCAATCTCATTAAATAGTTTTATTAAATTACATAACGTCAACAATGACTTAAAATATTTATTGATCAATTTCGATGTTTTCTTAATCTGATAAATGAAATCTATTTTCTCATCGATTATCTGTTCCATTGATCATTGATCGTTTCTTTCTTCAACAGAATTCATATTTCTATTGTCTGCATTACATTTATTTTTTTTAAACTTAAATATATATTAAAGAAACCTTTTTACTAGTACAAAAAAAATTCTTTGATATATATTTCTATTGTCTTCATTACATTTATTTTTTTTAAACTTAAATATATATTAAAGAAACCTTTTTACTAGTACAAAAAAAATTCTTTGATAAGATATAAAGTCTCACAGATAAATGTTTGCTTTGAGTAATGCATCAAGTATTTGTCATAAAATTGTTATCATACGCTTGTTTTTCTAGAAATGTCTTTATTTAATCGCATTCAAAATAATCATTAAAATGATATTCTTGTTTTTATCTATTCACATGTTGCACAAATTTAGATCTTTATTTTGCTATATATATATATATATAAAATATAAATTCTTTATATCTCATTGATCAATCCTTAATTTGTTTTCGTTCTATTTACTCGCTTTATTAAACAATTTTCTTTTTCAATTTCCATAACATACAATGTTTTCCTATATAGAAAATTTGATCGTCATTGTCAATTGCACTTGATTTATTATTATATAGCACACTTAAAAAAAAAGAACAACTTTTTTTAATATTCTATAACCAGTTTTTCAATAATTCAAATTTTTTTTTCCCAATGATCAATTCCTAACTTCTTAACTACATTACATAAATATATATATCACACATAATAAACACGTAGATGAACAAATAGATGGTAGTGAACATACTGAGATAACGTTCCATCTCGGGTATAAGATTGGACGCATCTAATGCTTGATTAAGAAATAAATTTATATTATAGCTCGAAGTAGTCTGCAGATCGATGTCAAACTCAGATACTTATAGATGAACCGAGAGAGAACAATGAAATTTCAATTACTACAATCATTAATAGATGAACTCAGTGAAAATTCAAGCTATTGTAGATTGTTTTCTGCTGTAACAATTCTTGTGTATAAAATCTGTCCATAAATTCACAAGTTGAAACATAATTGATCAACTAATGATTATATTAATTAAAACTACATCGCTCCCTCTGATTTATTCTTGATTTGATCCCATTCCATGGTTTCTCAATTCGTACTTAATATTATCAATAACATATATTCATGACTATATTTAATACTGTGTCTCGAAAGTCAAGAACAGTTAATAAATACAAATAACTCGATTATTGATCAAGTTTAATCATCATTCTTTTTTATTTGAAACAGGATTCTGATATGTTTTGATTGGTGAACATCAAATTCATTTATAGTCGAGAAAATGTTAAACTTGTGACTACAATTAAAAAATTAGACTGTTTTCAGTGTGACCATCAACATGCACCGTTCTTTGTCAATACTTGCTTAAGTTTTTAACGTCACTATAGATTTTCAATCATACAGACATTTGATTATCGAGTTTTCATCATTTGAGTGACATATTTAAAAACGATAGAATCATGAGTGAATTTCTTTACAGACAATCATTTGTGAGTCTTTCGAAACATTTATAAGAGTGAAAACGAATTTGTTACACTATTGTATAATTCATTCTGATCTTACTATTGATTCTCTAGCTTTCTTTTCGTAAGATTATATCAAGGCAAATATTCACAAAAACTAATTTAAAACATTAAAATGATCAAAAGTTCGTATGAATCATAGAAAGCCGAGTGGATATCGAAAAAGACCAGATATTCATTGTTTGATGACAACGAAAAAAGAATAATTTTGAAAGTGTAGCGGAAGGTGTAACGTTGTCTACACTATTGATGAGCTTGGTCTTGACGAATCAAAACTTACGGATCTTTGATTTCAAAAAGAAAAGTTTTTGATACAGTTTCATTAATAGCCTAACATTCTATATTTATTAACTGTTTAAGACTTTTGATATATCATGTAGAAGAGGATTATTTGTACAATGAAGAATAACAAGATACAAAAATCATCAACATTTATAGCCCATAGATGTATTATACTTATATAATGAAAAAAGTTAGATTGCTGATCTATGCTTCTGAACAAATTTTGTTTTTACGGTTTTCTCACATCGAATTCCTATTTCTATATCTTGATCATCAAGTAAAAGTACATTACTATCTGTAAACTTGTTGTTTACTTTTCGTATTTAATATATGTGTCTTATCAATGGTCACTGACGCATCATTTCGTTGAAGTTGAATTATTATTAGTTCTGTTATATAGTAAATCTCGATCAAACATGAAAGAGACCGAAATAAGATCATCAAGAAACCAATATGGTGTAGTACTGAATCAGACTGCTCTTAGATAGCGGTAGGTTCATGTTGTTATCGGCTTGGACCCGAACTCAGTTCTTGTTACACCAATATCTCATACTCACTGTGTACCTAAACAAGGAAAAGAAAAACGTTTTAGTTGTTTATTAACTACTTCCCGAAAAAGTCAACGTACAGTTATTTCTTGTTGATCATTTTCTCAGCTATGGAGCTGTGAGTGCATGAAAACGTGAAACTGGACACTAAACAAAATAATGCTTCGGAATAGACCAATTTATCTCTGAATTTGATGTTCGATGTCATCTTAACGTGGATGCTAACATATGATTGAGAAACAATCGAATTATAATAGAACATTGTTCTTTTTCATATAATTTTAAAATTACATGTAGTCTTTGATATCATATATTTATTTTATTTTAAAATCATACAAACATTAAATAAAATCTTTTTACGATAAACAAAATTGGATAGGACCTGTTTGTTGTTCAATTAATTTTTTAGTTGTAATTCTTCCATTCGCAATTTTTTTTGCATGACGATATATTTTTAACTCTTGTGTATACTGTTGTTCATACATTGATATATAAGATTTCGGTTCACAATGTTGTTTACAAAATGAATGTTTATAAAAATCTGCATAACCACCATCAAGTAAATAAATTGATGGAAATGATAAATAAGGATAGTTTGATATATTATATTGACGATCTAATGAACGAAATAAACGACAAAGTCGTGGACCACGTTCAGATGAAAATTCACAATGAAAAATAATTATTGATGGACGACATGATGATGATATTAATTTAGTAAATAATAAACGTAGATCATTTTCAGTATATATATTAATAGCTGAAGTAATATGACCACCAGAATATTCAAATGGATAACGAGCATCAATAATTAATATATTATTTGTTTGTTTATCCAAAAGAGATCCAAGCTAACAAATCAGATAAAACATTTTATACTGGATATAGAAAAATATTTCTAAACTATTACCGTTTGTGATGATATACGTTTAAGATCTGGATGAGATGAACGTTTTACTAAGGGTAATGATGATTGTTCATCGAAAAGAATTTGAAGATTTTTAACAACAGATGACTTTGTTGATTGTATTTTAGACTTAGAACGAATAAGTGGTGATGAAAATAATGGTGATAGTGTGTCAAGATGATGAGACATTACAGCAAACTTTAAAATAAAAGTAAATGAAATGAAATAATATTTTATGTATTGAAATTTTTATTTTATTCTAACTAAACATAAGATCATTTTAATCATCCCCATGATATACTAATATCACTCCATCATCAAACAATAGATGATGATTTTTCAATTAGTAGAATGATTAATTGTCATGTTGTTTTGTTGTCTTCTTAATTGGTTAAACTATACATACGTAAAATACAATAGATCGTATTGAATATATACATTACAAAAACAAAACAATTAGAAGTGTAGTGACATAGTCAATAGAAAAGAAGCTCAATTTCTTATCTAATGTAAGCCATGTGAACGATTTGCTGCTACAGATTTACTTTTCGTTTATTACATAAAAATTCTATTCTTCAATTAACGTTTTTCTTGTGTGAAAATTTATTTTGCGTTGAAGATGTGGATGTAGTTCTTCTCGTCATTCAAAAATTGTTGGACAAATAAATTTATAACAGATAAATACATTAATGAAATTATAATAACGTGGTGATAAAGGTTGTATTGATATTTCAGCGTTTTTAAAAGCTGCTGCACTAAGATATTTTTGAAAATGCATCAAAAACTTGAATAGTCATCTCTTATTATTTTTTTGTAAAAATAAAAAATGGAATTTTTTGCTTGTTCGATAATAGATTCATTGTCACAATAAGTGTTCATCATTCCTGTTTGGAATAATCAACGGTCAGTGTATCATATGAACGCCATTTAAGTTTACTCTCCTCCTGCTGCATAATGGCATCTTCTCTCAAAACAATAAAACAAAACCAACTCATATTGAAAATATTCAATCGAAGAACAATATGTTCCTTTTAAATTCTTGTAATTGTATCTCAACCACTGAATATGGGTTTTCTACCTTGTGTACTATTTCGAAAATGGAAATCTTCTTGCTATTTGAAAATAGAAATCGTATTCTTACCGTCATCGTTGTAGTTGAATGATATTTTTTTTATCAATTGTAGAAATGCTCTTATATAGTGACAAGTGCTATGTATCTTCTCTGATAATCAATCAGTAACTGTGATATGCACAGGTGGATATTTGTTTTCTTTTATTGTTACCTATCAACATAACAATTTACAATGAATAGAATTAAAAAAGAGTGCACCAGGAGGAAAACAAACAAACACACGAATAGCATGACAAATACGTATATTAGGGTACGATAAAATTTATGTCAATTGATTTAATGAAATATTGGATCATTTGGATCAGTATATGTATGAGAAAAAAGAGTATATTCATAATCAATTAATTGACGAAGAAAACCGACATTAGGACTAACAATTGGACGTCGATGTCGTAAAAATTTAAATGCTTCAAGTAGTGTTGCATTATATGTTTTCATTAAATAAGCAAGAATTATTGTTGTTGATCTTGATATACCTAAATTACAATGAACAAGTATGCGACTTGATGAATTTTGAAATGCTGTTTCCATAAAACGTATTGTTTCTTCAAAACGATCTTTAAGTAAAACATCTTCCATATCTTCTAATTCTAAATGTAAATATTTTATTTTATCAGTAAATACACATTGATGTTCAACAGATATATTTATTATATGTGTTATTTTAAGATCACGTACAACTTTCCAATTTGTTGCTTGATGACCAGTACCTATTACAAAAATAAAAATAAAAATAATAGTTTTTTTTTTTTATTTTGTTTTTATTTTTACCAAGATAAAGTTGATTGTCAAGAACAACGGATGGATAAATTGTAAGAAATTTTTCACGATCAACTGTTGAACGTATATCAGATTGTGTACAAACGAAAGGAAAATATGTACGAAATGCTTCAAAACCACCACTTAATGTTAAACATGCTTTAGTACCTGGTGGTGAAAAACGATTAGAAACACGACGCATTTCTGTTGATGTATTGTAAAAAATTCCTTTTTCATCATATAAGACTATTTCACTAAATCGTTCAACGATTGATATGTAGACAGCACCACTTAATGCATCTTCCCAATGAATGGCTAGAATGAGAAATTCAAAGTCATTTAATGAAATAAATTAAACTTGAATGGACAACAGTGGCTTAGGTCAATAATTCTGGTATCCACGTTCTTGAGTTTTTGGTTGGTAAACTCTAGACTGTGGCAGAAACTTGGGCCTAGGAATTTGACAATCGGATTCAATGATCGAATTTTTACAATATAGTTTGAAACAAAATTTAACTGTGTAAAGTCAGTCATCGGATTTCTGCGTTCAAGTCTCTGCAATTCTTGCAAACAGAAATGATTGTACATTATTTACTGAGGGGAGTCAAGCAATTGCAAATGCCTCCACCGGTATTAAAAAACGATTGGAAATGTAACGATTTTAATTTTAGTTTCAATAATTGTCGAATCTAAATGGACCGTACAAGCTATAAATTTTTTGGATTCAATCGATTGCAGCTATTGCTTAAAAAGATACAATCGGCTGAATATTATTTTTTTCAATTTTATTTTTATGTTCTAGAATAAATAGGTGCATTATTTCTCTAAGAACTTTTTATTTCAGGACAAAATAAATGAAGGTTTGTAATATATAAATAAGTTTGAAATTGATGAATAAAAACTTGGTGACATGTATTGTGACGCAGTAGGTGACTATAATAAGTTTTCATTTGCATTACTGCAGAAGCCATATACCAGTTTTTTTAAAATGATCAACTGACTAGAATTGCATAATCGTGAGTATCATTTGCCAAATGACACTTTCATATTCTAGTAAACAAACTATTGTGCACGAGACGTTCCTATTATCATGTTCTCAAAGCAAAAATTTTCTTCGATCTAAAGTCGCAAATACAGTTTGTTTCGTTCAATAAAATTAAATTTTTGAATAATTAAACAAATAGACAATTGAGGATTGAGAAGTTTATGATTTTCAGCTAAAATGATTCTTTTATTTAACTTATTGAAATCTATTGAGTATATGATATTTAATTTATACAAATGAAAAAAAACAATCCTTATTTGTTTTCTTTCTTACTCAATCTATTGTCATAAAGAATAAGGGCGGAATAAAAATGTACTTCTATTCTTTTTTTTTTTTTATATAGTATGGCTGACGTCAATCATTGATAAGAAAGTGTAGAATGTTAAAAATCATCTCCAGGGAGAAAGCCATAAAGATACTTTTGCTGGTGCAAAATGACGTTTGTCAAATTAAAACTATCAGATGATGAGAAAGAAGACAAAAAAGAAAATAACCAATTCTACGCTTCATCTACAAAAAAAAGGCTACTTCTTCAATGGTTATTGACGCAATGCACTTATTTCGGTTAATTAAGTCAACTTGACATTGTTTTTAGGTTAAAAATACTAAAAAGAAATTACCTGTAATAATATGATTTTCATTAAATTTCTCTTTGGACCGACAATCAATTATATACAAATAATGTGCTAGCATAAATAAATATTGATTTTGTAGACCATAACCCATCATATTAAATAATTTTGATGGTGTCACATAACCCGGTTGACAGGTTGTTGTTGGTAAGATACATTTAGGTTTCGGTGATGTTGGGGATTGAGATCGAAGATGACTATGATGATTTACAGCTTTATCACTACCAGATCCACCAATATTTGCTTGTTGTTGTTTAAGAGTATTCGATGTAGACATAATTGATTGAACGTCTGTATTTGAACGTCCTCTCATTGGTAGGAGTACATCATGATTTACTGGACGACGAGATGATTGAGATGCTGCAGAGGCAGATGTTACAGTTTTTTGCGTTGATCCACTATGTTTTCTTGGTGAATCTAATGTTTTTTTTGTAGAATTTTTTTCGTCCGTTGAATTGTCTTCTTCATATTGTGTTGAAAGATGAGATGAAAGAATGTACGATTTTTGTGGACTACTTGGTAATGATAATGCATTACGTTCAATAGCTCGAGCTACAGGCATTGTTGTTGTATTTGCTGTAGAAATTTATGAATTTTTACTTGTTAGATCACTTGATCAAAATGAAAAAAAAAGAGAAAGGTACGAATAAGAAAGAAAAAAAATATATTAAAAGAAGACTGTTTCTGTTAGGAAGAGAAAGAGAATTGTGAAGCTTCATATTGAAATTGAGCAGAATAACGAAAGCTTTTCTTTTCTCCTGAAATGTCTCGAAAATTATTAAAACGCAATTCGTCGATTAAAATAAAATGTATTGTCAATTTATTCATGAGACCTAAATGACCTCAGACTACGACAACTACATCTCAAAGGAAATTTTAGCTAAATATCTGTTAACAAGCATAGAGTAAATGTTATTCTATTTACCAATTCGTATGGCGATGAATATAATCAGATGATGAAGATACTGATGGCACGATTTAAATAGCTTTTTTCTTTCGTTCTTTGTATTCTGTACTTTGAAATGAAAATCGTAATATTACATGAAACAACTTTGTTCTTGCACATTTTTTTGTTTTTATAATATCCCGAAACATCAAAAAAAGCATTAACTGTGTTAATTCTCCTTTTTTCTTCACCAAGTGTAAATAAATGATGAAGCGTAAACAACAACAAAATTTGTATAAACTCTCAACGACGTAAAAAGAGAGACATGCAAACACACCTACCAACAACATGATGCAAACAAAGCAATCTGAAGCATGATTCATAAACAACAATATTTTAGTTCAAAATACACTCTGTATTTTTAAAATAGAGCCAAACAAATCATTCGTTATGTATTTGCTTTAGATATCTTTTTATAGAATCTATCATAATATTTTTTTAAGCTTTTGAATTGAATGAAATTTTAGATGATTCTAAATATAGCAACGGATGTAGAAAGACGCAATTGTTAATGTTTCATTCTATTACATACACTGTATTTTTCGTCGAAGAAAACAAAAGCTCTCGAGAATCGTATTTCAGTTAGACATGCATACTTTTTAACTCTGATCGAATGTCTATTTTGTTCGAATTGTAATTAGATTAATCGTTATATTATAATGTTATTTATTTTATTTTTGACATAGGCAAAAAACAAAAGAACATACACAAATTTGTATGTGCAAAATGAGAAAAAGACAAACATCATCACGTTAAATTCGGATCAAATATAAAAAAAAAGAAATTTCTTCTTTACTCGTTTTGTTTTTCTTTTCTTTAAGAGGACATAGGTGTGTATGTGTGTACGTATGTGAAAGGAAGAAGATAGATAGGAGAGAGTGCATGTGGAGTGTACAGCATGGACACATTGCGTATTTATTGAGAGCAAAAATAAAAACTTCAAAAGAGAGAAATCAGTAACTGCGTTGGCATTAGCTACCCATCGAGTGCACGCAAAAGGGGTAGGAGAAAAAAGAAAAAAACTTAGAACAAATGAGAGGCACTTGTATATTGTCTTTTTTTGTCTTTTTTTGTCTTTTTGTTGTTGAGTCCATTTACCGAGGATGATAACGACCAATTGCTTTGAGATTTTCAACAAACATAGCACGTGCTATTTTAGGTCGACGATCGTCACCAGCTACCATTGCAGCTACCTTAATTATTAATTGAATTATAAAGAAAAAGAAAAGAAATAGAAAATGCTTTTTTTTCTTACAACATCTGAATTAACAAAAATACAGCCAATTTTATTAAGTTCTTTTTGTTTAGCTTCAATTGCATCTTTACTTACACCACGACATGCATCTTCAATTAATACAGTTCGATAATTATTTTCAATAGCATGCGTTGCTGTTGAAGCTAAGATAAGAATCAAAAACAAATATTTTTTTAAATAAAAACACTAAAACATACCAACACAAACATCTGTAGCCATACCAACAACATAAACATCAGTTACAAAACGTTGTTTAAGTTGATCATCAAGACTTGTTTTACTTAATTTCATATTATCCCAAAATGCTGAGTAAGAATCTATTTCAGAATTGGTTCCTTTATAGAGATGTATAGCATTCTTAACCTGGATTAAATCCGGGTGCAAAGCAGCGCCATGTGTATTTTGGATACAATGTGCTGGCCAAAGAACTTGTTCTATTGAATCAGTTAATTTAGAAGATCCGACAAAAATAACTTTATCATGTACCTTTGCTGCATCAGCACTAATCTGAATAATAAAAACACAAATCATAATAATATTTATTTTTACAAAATTTTTTTTTTTGGACATACACGACTTTTAGGTGATATTTTTCTTAAATGACGATTTTCGTAAAAAGATACATGATTTGATGGATGCCAATCATATGTATATACAATAACATCAAAATTAACAGTGCGAATAACTTGATTGATAACAGGGACAACTTCTTCTCCTATAAATAAAAAAAGAAATCATCATAAAATATTTAAGAAAAAAATAGGGATAATTTTGATATAAATAAACCTTGATGATTAGCAGGACAAGAATGAAGAGCTAATGATCCAGAAATAAAATCATTTTGAACATCGATTATCACAAGTGCACTAACAGGTCTTACAGCCTATGAAAACAAAACTAGAAGAGATTCAATAGTTTTACCATTTAGTTACACATTTAATTGGTTTTCTCCATGCTCGTAGAAATTCGTCAAAATCAATTTTTTTATCTTGATTAAAATCAGTTTCATGAAAATATTCATCAATCTGTTCGTTTAATATCAAATGGGGTCCTTTTTTATTAGAAAAGAGTGCATTGAGAAAACGACGAAAATCTCCACGAGTCCAAAAACCTTGTCTAAACAAAAAGAAAGGAAATATTTTTATTTTCTTTCATGTAGATGTTGTAACATTACTTTTGGAAATCAAAATATCTAAAACAATTTTTATATTCTTCATAAGAAAAATTACTTCGTCTTAAAGAATTGAATGGATTGTTATCATCAGGTATATATGACATGGACGATCCTTTAAAAAAACCAATAAAAACAAACATCAATAAAATAAATAATTGAGTAGGCAGATAAAATTGTAAAAAAAAAAAAAAAAAAAAAAACAAAATCTAAACGAACCTTTGGACCCCATGAATATTTCGAACAAAGAATTGCTCACAGGTCTCAAAATAGAATATTGTTTTCTTTCATTGATATTCGAAAAAAATTCGTTGATAATAATAGAAAGTGAAGTGTCACATAGAATTAAAATTTGTTGAAGAAATATATCAAGAAAAAGACACATTTTGATGAAAAATAAATTTTGTGTGCCATTTGTACTTGTAATAGTGCAACGTACGTGTATAAAAACTTTTCTATTATATATCTCCTTGCGGACGCTTGTTTTTTTTCTACTGTTTTTTCTGACTGTTATTGTAAAATATTGAAAAATGTAGTAAATAAACGGAAGAGAATAGTAATAGTTATCGTAGCAAATACGACAAGAAAATAATGTTTATAGTAGCTGACTGGTTGCTATAAAATTGAACGATGTGAAACAATTAATGGCTTAACGATCGGTAGAAAGACAGATCGACATGGAAGAAAAACGAGCGAACAAGCATAAGAAAAAAAATTATGCTTTACTCTCATGTGGACTGCTCTATTACGTTTTTCCTTCGTTTTTATTTCCTCGTTCACATAACAATCTTATCGTGTTTGTCTTACGCAAGTCTTTTTTTATTGTTATTGTTGACGGCATTGTGCGACACTGATGACGAGTGATTAACGTAGCTAAATGAGTTGATATAAATGTATATAAAGATTTATATTTATGTATGAGAATATTTGCATGAGAGACCATTTCTTTGACTAAAAACAAAAAAATAAAAAAAAAACAGAAATTTGGCTAATCCAAAAAAAATGATGCTTTCATGTTTCTATTACAAAGTTTATGTGAAAGGCTTTGTTTGGATTGTATTAGTTTTCTTTGTCTTTTTTTTGAATAATAAATTTAAACGATACAGTATAGAACGAAAATAAAATCTTTTTGACAGTAGAAGTTTAAGCCTTTCAGATAAACAATATAAATATGATATGATCAAAAGATAAATCCTAGCTTCGATGATTTAAGATGGCATACCTGTGCAAAGATGATGCGAATGAGAGGTAAAAAAATAACGCTCTCGTTTGAATTGCAATGTTTATTGTGTCATTCGCAAAAACATTTATTAAATACTTTTAAAAAAAACTCTGAAAAAGAAAAAAAGAAAAAAAGCAACCACCTAATGGTTTTACTATGAGTCCATCAATTTATTAATGCTTTCTTTCAGATATTTTCGATAGTTTTGCTTTTCAATTAGGAAAATTCATCAGATAGCAACACTTTTAAGACTCGAATTCATGTGTACACAAAATTTTACATTGTATGTTCTGTAATATTCGGTTTCAATCTTTAGCAATAAAATAGTTACAAAATATTTGTGCGAAAACAAGAAAAAAACTTGAATGTTTGATGATTATTGAAAATATAATAAAACAAAAATGTTTCTTTTCTTCTCTTTGTATAATCAATTAATGCCATCTTTCGAATAATGTATAAGCATGTAATGTTTTCCATAATTTACCATTGATCATCTGGTGTTGTTTTCTTTTTTTAGGGTTGTTTATTTAAAATCGAACTCTATTGCTGATGCAAGTTTTTTTTTAATTTTAGATCTTTGTCTTTTTTATATTCATCATCAACTGCATAAATGAGTCTTCTGTCAAATTGTCTATTTGTACGGCAAGTACTTAGTCGTACTGGTGTTTTTTCTCGATCAACATTTGTGAATGCGTCACGTTTATCATCACTATTTAGGTGATTGTTTAATGATTAAATTGAAATTGATTCATTTATTTTTTAATCTATATGTGTTAGTTTAGATATTCATCTACGAATACACCTTCACAAGAACAAAAACAAAATGAAACAACAACAACAACAACAACATCGTCACCGACTCAAAACGTAGAAAATCAATCTCAAACTGAACAAAAATCGGACGTTGATGTAAAACAACTTCTTGAACAAAATACAAAATTAAATGAAGAAATAAATGAATTTAAGGTAAAATTATTCAAAATGTTACTAAATAGAAATTTATAGAAAACTAATATTCGATGAATATATTACATTTGATTGGTTTGTTTTTTTAAGTACAACAGATTTTAGTAGTAATTAGATATTCGCCAAGAATCGAAATGAGAATACTTCTTTTTTCTTTAGTTGGCTTATTTTTTATTATACAAGTATTGAAGATTTAATTGTGTGATATTATATAATTTTTTACTATTTATTTTAAGATTAAATAGAACATTGAAGACGTATTCTTTTGAATTAAGGGATATATCTTTTCTATATATGTATTAGGTGCTAAGACACTTGAGACCTCTGAGTGTCTTCACTTGATTATCAAGGTTTTGACAAAATGTATGCAAATTTGTATAAGAAATCCCAAGCCAGAAGACACATCTTCATTATGAATATAGTTTTTCAAGCGTATGTCTACTTAAAAAATTGATGTTAATTATACATTTGAGTTGTAAGTTTGTATGGCATAAATGACATTAATCAAGGTTTCTGGTAGTCGGTACTATTCATAACAGTTAATTAACATCCGACAGGTATAGAACTTGTTTCCGAACATGACTAAATCGTCTGTTCAAATTTTTCTCTTGATCACACTCGATTACTTTAATATAGACTAGAAAAAATTTCCAAGGTTAATGACGTAGGACGATATTGGTTTTATCTCTGGTTCACATCTTTTACAGCTGTCAAAAAAACCATTTAGTAAAAAAAATGTCTAGTTCTTCATAATCATCTTTCTTCTCCGAGAAACAGTGTTTTTCATAGACATATCACGATTGTATTACTGTTAATAATTTATTTCAAATGTGTTCCTTTTCTTTGATATATTTAATATGAAACCTGTTAGGCAATATATTATTTTTTTAATTAAATTTTTTTTTTTAATTATAGGATCGTTACAAACGTGCACTAGCTGAAACTGAAAATACTCGAGTACGTTTTACTAAACTAGTGAATGATGCAAAAATCTTTGGCATACAAGGCTTTTGTAAAGATTTACTTGAAGTCGCTGATATACTTAATCTAGCATTAGTCAATACACCGAAACAAGTAGCAACAGATATAACAGCCTTAACAAAAGACTTTAATAATCTTCATCAAGGACTTGTAATGACTGAAGAAAGAATGCAAAAAATATTTGCTAAAAATGGTCTTCTACAAATAAAACCAAATGAAGGTGATAAATTCGATCCGAATTTTCATGATGCTTTATTTCAAGCTAAAATTCCCGAAAAATCAAGTGGCACAATTATACAAGTAATGAAAACAGGTTATCGTCTTCATGATCGTGTAATACGAGCTGCACAAGTTGGTGTTGCGCAATAGAAAAAAAAATGAAAAAGCCAAGTAATCAGAAATGATGTGTTATTGTTGTTTTTTTTTGTCATTTGAAATAAAAATGTTTCGTTATGATTACCAACCCACACAAGAAGAAAACAGAACGGAAAGATGAGTAAGATTTTTTCTTTTTCTGTTTTCTAGATATAATAATAATAATAATAATATACTTTTACAACGTAACATAAAAAAAAATATAACATTACGGTATTTCTATCGTTTCATCAAGTACGTCAAAAATAATAGGAATACCGACTGCATCGTTCGAGTGAGTCATTTGTTTGAGAAGAAAAAAATAACTTTTTTCATGTTTTTGCTTTTAGCGACTAGTAACGTCGTCGATCGTGTTTCTACATTCTCCCTTTTATGTTCTTGTATGATCATGAATTACCTATAACGTGTATTTCAGACCAATTCCCGTAAGTACATTTTTTTTCGAAGGATTTGTTTTTTAACTCTTTTTCTTTCAAAATCTTCTAGCATTTGCTAATCCGGTGATTATTTTTTGCCTTAATCTTTATGGCAGTATGTTTTGGTGGTAAAAAGTCTAAAGTATCACAAACAATAACAAAACGCTTTTCTTCAAATAAAAATAATGATCTCGATCATCAACAAACTTTAAATAACCATCATCGTTCTCATTCCCATATCAATCAACATCAAAAAAATTCTAATATGCCTCACGATCTTTCACGTTCATCTGCTAATTCTGCATCATCATCAGCATTTTCCTATTCATATGGTACACCACAATCACCACCATCATCATCATCGTCATCATCAAATCATACAATGTTTAACAATTATTATCATAAAAATTCAAAAAAATTTGATAAAATGGATATTTCCGATGATGATGATGACGATAACGACGATGATGAATCAACAACAGATGATGATTCAAAACAACAAAAAAAACTTAAACGTACTGTCGAACAATTAACATCAACACAACAAAAACATTCAATTGTTAATGCTGATATGATTTTTTATTGCTTTGAAATCTTAGGCAATTATTTATTTAATGGTAAACATCATTTAGGAAAACATCATTTATCTTCATCAAGTACAAGTAGTCAATTACTTCCATCATCTACTAGTCCACCTGCAGTGCCAGCAGAACCTTATCCATTATTTGTTACATGGCTAATTGGAGCAGACAAACAATTACGTGGATGTATTGGTACATTTTCACCAATGAATCTTGCACAAGGTAGATTTATTTTATTTAAATTAAAAACTATAAGATATAGTCAGACATTTTTTTGATGGTATATAGATATACATCCAATGAATAATGATTAATTCTTATAATTAGTTGAAAATGTTTGTTTTATTTTTCTTTGTCTTAAATTTCATCTAACTCAATACTTTTATCCTATTAACCAAGCTATTGGCATAATCCTTGTGGGATTGAAATGTAAAACATGATGTAGTTGCTGTTGATAATCAAAGAAAGATTGTTTTATTCGAGCTATTTTAGAATACATTTTTTCATCATCATTTTACTTAGTCCTCTAGAAATGCACTAAAAAGAAGTAGTTTCTATTCAATAAC